CACCCCCAATATAGTCACCATGGAGACCCTGTAGGGTTGCGGATTCACACTATGCTTGTGCCGCGGACGTGAGGGTGGCCTTTGCTTGGATCCTCCCACACACACGGTGCGGTGCCACTCCCTCCCACTGCAGCGGTCGGGAGCGCGTGGTCGTGACCGACTGGTGCTGTACCAGGGCGGACGGACAACGGGTGGGTGGGATTGAGGAGGGGGGTGGTGCGCTGACGACAGGGCTTCTATGATTCTGCTTGCCTCCACATCAGCAGGTATCAGCAGCGCACAGAGACAGAAGGGGGGGGGGGGGGGGGGGGGGGGGGGGGGGGGGGGGGGGGGGGGGGGGGGGGGGGGGGGGGGGGGAAGGTGAGGGGAGGGGGGTAGTTTGGGTGCGCGAGAGAGGGACGGGGCATATTAATCAGCGGCTGGCTCGTAACTCTGTGGGTGATTCACGGCGACTGGCAACCCTTCGTGATATGCATTCCATCCCCCTCAGGTCGGGGCGCCGGGCCGGGCGGCCGGCGGGGGCAGGGTGGCGCCACGCCACCGCGGTACCGACCGACCGACCGACCGACCACTCTAGGAAATGGGGGACCCGCCGTATCCGGTGTAGCGCAGCGGTCCCGCCCCGCACCGCTCTCTCTCTCTCCTCCTCGGGACTATTCACCTCCCCCCACCTGCAGCGCTCTCATGAGGTGTAGCGCCGTGCAGCACGACACCTCACACCGGGCGAGAAGGATGTGGCCGGCTAGCCAAGGTCACATCACTCCACCGCTCCCTTCTGATCCACCCTCTCGCCCGCCCTCCATCCCCCTTTGCTTTTCCTCCTGCTCGTCGCCAAGAAAGACCGCATAGTGCCTCGTGCGTTCAGCTGCAGGCAAGGACCAAAGTTTTCGTGTACGGCTCCGAGTCACAAATGATTGTCCTTGTCCAAGTTTTGCCTACCACTCTCTCCCTCCCTGCCGTGTGCCTCGCCCCAGTTCTAGTCCGTTTCTCTGTACCTCTCTCCCTCTGCCTCACTCTCTTTCCCTTTCCTCTCCCTGTCCCACCTAAGAACTGTAAACATGTCAAAGATGTGTAAAATTAGAACTAATTTATAATGTGTATATTTCATTGTAGTGCCCACAACATGTAAATGTTCAGTGGCACTGGCATTATACCAAAGCACTGCACTAAAGTCACTCTTCTGGGACAGAGATGTTTTGAATCCAAGTTCATGACTCCTGCGGAGCGATATCATTGTACATGTCGCTCATTTCAAGTCGTTTTCCGCGAGTTTCTCTCCATGGAGCGACACGCGTCGCTCTATTCGTGGAAAAAACAGGACTAACTTTCACATTGTCGCTCTTGCTCTCCGACAGCGCGCTGTGTGAAAAGAAACGATTCTCCTGCGTGGCCGTCTGCAGGAGGAAAATATCGAAACAGCCCCGCGTGCCGCACTGGGAACAAACGGAAACGATGGTCGCGCGAATATTTCGCGCAACAGCGTGCGGCAGGAGAGAGAGAGAGAGAGAGAGAGAGAGAGAGAGAGAGAGAGAGAGAGAGAGAGAGA